CATTGCGTGTCCTAAAATTCAGCCCTTTTTGTTTTCCGTGAAGTAATTACCTCCCATGTTAACCCAAATCCTTTAATAATCATCCTTGGTTCATCTGCTCATCAGCAAAAGACAAAAAACCTATATTGGCAGAAAACCAATGCCCCAACCATTAAGAAAACTACTCCCCAAATGTGTCTGAATGACTTAAATACCTTACATTTATCGATTTAATGTACTTTAAAAAAGATTTATTTCATAGACACACACATGGAATTTAGTTAATTGTTAAATATTATGTTGAAGTACTGTTTCTTTTCTCTTGTTATTAACAGTGTTTTGAATATATTGTAAATGAATGGCAATATTATAAAGGAATATGGTGTGCCAATAAAGCCCTGTGAATTTGATAGGAATACAAGTGCCTTGCAATTTGATGAGAAGACAATCTACATTTTACATTACAAATATAAATATGGGTGAAAGTTAAACAGAGGAATTGCACGGTTTACGGCGACAGGATGGGATTGTCTAGTCTCTGTCTTTCCTTATTTTATCTGTTTCCTCAGTTTATTTTGGTGTTATGGCTGTTCCTGTGTTTTGCACTAACTGTGTTTTAGGCTTTGAGCATACTGGTGCTGATGATGTTCACAGTCTCACAGCTCTGGTGTTATTTTCCTGCGTTTCCTGTCAGGTCATTGTGAAGAAACACACAGTTCTCACCTTGGCTGACATTTGTTGTGTCTGTTGTGTGTCTGCAGCCGGGTGATGACCTACAGGGAGCACGGAGCCTGGGTGGTCAAAGCTCACCTACAGAAGGAGACAGACGGACATATTATCAGCGTCAGGTACGCTCCTTCTTTGTCTCTTAACTTTCACACTACCCAAACTTTTTTTGTTTGTTTGTTTGTTTTCCTGTACTGACTGTGACGCTCCCCACCAGTGTTAATGGAGATGTTCGATTCTTTGAACCGCGGTCGCCGGACTCCATCAACGTGCTGCAGACAGTGAAGGGGTTAACAGCCCTGGACATCCACCCGCAGGCCAACCTGTTTGCCTGGTGAGTATGTTTGTATAGATGTAGGTTCCAGACCTGACAAAAAGGCTCATAAAGTGTCCACAATGTGAACGTCAGATCCCTGCAAGGGCATTTCTTTTGTTTCTGTTGTCCTTGCTTTCTTCCATTTGTCTAAATAGAAGAGAAAATTATCGTTCTTCCTGTATTTACTTGAGTTGAAAAAGATTCACCACAAAAGAAATCCACAGCAGTATACACAGCTTATGATGGATGTGATGTCCATGTTTTTTCCTCTGCCCTCCAGTGGATCGATGAACCAGTTCATAGCAGTCTACAATGCTAACGGCGATGTGATCAGCAACATAAAGTACTATGACGGCTTCATGGGACAAAGGATTGGGGCAATCAGCTGTTTAGCCTTCCATCCTTACTGGGTAAAGTAACACTTATTTTTTACTGCCCACAATAGTACTCATGCAGTCGTACATCTGGGCCAGTAGATATCAAACATTTCAGAATGACTAAGTGCAGTAAAAGGAAGCTTAACATGTTAAAATTAACAAATTAACAAAACACTATATGTATTGTTAAAGGGATCTCTTATAGTGATGAAACCCACAAAGAATTATCACCCAACTCTGTAACTCCCCTCAGCTCTACACAGCTTTTAGGTCATTATTTTGGTTTTCTGGCTCGCAACTGTTTTATATTTACAGCAGCAGCTACTTTCCAAAAACACCAAAAGACCAAAAACAGAAACACGACTCCAAATGTGGGCTAATGTTGATTGTCCTGGATGTGTACATATGTAATTGTTTGCTAGCAGGTTCACCATATTAACTTTATGAGGTTATAAAATGTCAGTGTTATGTTTTCAATTTCCACTACCTCCAAGTAAACAAAAAAATGAATTAGTGCAGCTTTAAGTAAATATACTAGGTTACTTTCCACAGATTATGTCAAGTCTAACCATCTCATATCAACGTGTTTGAAAGATCAGTTTCTTGAGGACATTAGAAAGGAGTAGCTCATATAAAATCCACTTAACATGGATCCATCCCTCACTCTGCCTAATGGCCGTTTATGACCCCAACTAGTTGCTAGCAAGTGCAAATTAGTGAGTACATACATACATGTATGTAAGTGCATTTCTGAGCAGAATGTCATGGACGTCAGCAACATAGAGTATAACTATAGTTTTTATCACGTCTGCAATTATTGTTCATCTCTAACCTTTGCACTCCAAATATATACACACACACACACAGACACACACATATCATTTCACCTGTAGTAAACTAAGACTGTCTAACCTGCTTTTCTCTTCGTCTCCCTTCAGCCCCACTTGGCGGTGGGCAGCAACGACTACTACATGTCCATTTATTCAGCAGAGAAGAGGCTCAGATAACACACCAGCATTTACCACCCCCCCTCCCCAACAAAACCACCACATATGACTTCTGACCCTGAGCCCCGAGCTCCGGGATGTAAATGACGTTTTTGTTGTACATATGCAATTACCACCCTGAATGTTCTAGTGATGGCTGCTGACAAAAAACTCATGCTACGAACGACGATATAAATATTCTTATTATTATTCTCATTGTTTATTCATATTCTTATTATGAAGCTAATGATTGTAGACTTGGCTGTGCTGAGGAGTGTGTATATTTAAATAGCGTATACAGATGAATAGAGGTTCTATTTTAAAGAAGTGGTACCCACCGATCACGGGGGCTCCTCCTCGCCGCACAGCGAGCATCACTACCTGAACGAACTGTGACCCCAGTGAACTGAGGGGGGGGGGTCGCCCAGAGGACAACACACACTGTTGAAACACATTCACTGGTGCAGGAAACACGAGCTCGCCCTCCGCTGGACCCCGGTGTGTTTATAAATTCATTGTAATGGCCGTCTCGCAGCCAAAGGACACAGAGTCTTACTTTGCAAGACGTTTGTAAGGACGGACCCAGAGATGGTGGACTGTGCTCCTTCTTGCCTGACACGTTGACGAAGCTGACGTGATGAGTGTTTCTTGTGTGTGTGTGTGTTAAAATGGATTATAGCACAGATGTGCCCCACAGTGGGCCCTCATAGCCTTGGACTTAAATGATGCCCAGCAAAGATGCCTGCTCCCATGCTAGAACTCTCCTTCTTGCTTCCTGACCCCAGCGTGCCAAACATAATCATATTTTCCATGCAAGCCCCTTTGTTGTGGCTCAAGGTGTTGTGGGTTAATTTGTTTTTTAACTTAATCACCTGTAAAAAGGGAAACCTTCTATGGCCCTTAGGATGACACATACCCTGATATCTAGCACAGTGAGCACCCAGTCCTACAGGGATTCTGCAGCACCTGCCTGCCTGCCCTGCAAAGCAATAAAAACCTCCCTTGATTCAGCCTCAAGCTCCTCCCCGACGTTTCCGATAACGGAAAAATAACACTTCTGCTTGAAGGTGATAGCAGCACCGCATGCCATCAATTTCTTCAGACAGTTGTACTTGCCCACAACCCAACCACCCAGAGGTGCCACAGGATAGCAATACAAACACACCCATTTCAATTCTCAGCGGTGTAATTCTTTCTTTTTACATACTCATAGTATCAGATGGGTGCCTTTTTTACCCCATCAGCTCACACCATTGACAGGAAAGATATCAATTAAATTGATTTTCCTGTGATTGTCCAAACTTTCTGCTAACCAATATGTCCAAGTCCTCCCAATGTGGAATAAAAAGAGAGCAAAAGAATCCCTGAAAATACTTTTTTGACCAGCTTCAGATTAGTGCACTGGCCCTTGTGTGCCAGTTGATCTTTTTCTGGCATCTGGAAAAAATATATAGAATATGACCCTGGATGCTTATCTAATCACAGTGAGGGGCAGCTCTGTTGAGACTCCCTTTGAGCACACTGCAGGTTTTAAGAACTTTAGGTTATGTGACTCATCACACCAGGGATCAGCTGCCACCCCACTGTTTGAACCATTTTTCATTTTGATTAAACCTTCTGCAAGGTTTCTTTTTTTTTCTTTGAGTTTTTATTTTGGATTTTATTGCCAGACATGTTTGGTTTGATTTTGTTTAACACAGTTGGAGGCGTAAAGTGAGTTGCATGTTAATGCTGGTGTCATCAGAACTGTGGCACTCTCTTTAACTCTGTACCTGTACATGGTCACTGTGTCAAGTTTTAGTCAGTGTCCTAAATCCCGCTCAGGTATTCCATGAGCCACCTCAAACCAAGGTTGAGCAACTACCAGCCTCCCCCAGTGTCAGCATGATCTTTTTTCTTTTTGTGCAGTATCACCATCAATGTGCCTCTTCCTGGGGCTGCAGCTTTGCTTATTCAGCTTTTTAAAATCTTTACAATCTTTAAAAGCTTTTTTCTCTTTCAGTTTTGTAATTTTATGTTTTTAATTCTGCTGGCATTTGTTTGCCTTAGCCTCCATGAGGTGGAGAGGAAAAAAGTGGGGACAGCCTTACCCTCACACACACACACACACACACACACACACTTGCTGTACCATGCCCCCTTTATCCCCAGTGTAACGCAACAGCCGCCCCCTCCTTCCTTTCCTGCCACGCCCACCTCACCCCTCTGCATCGGCTGTCCTGAGCTTTGCTTTTCCCCCGCAGAAGGAATAGACTCTTGGACTGAAAGTGAACTGGGAACACACACCATACAGTCTGTATAAGCGACTGCAGTTGCAGTGACCACATTAGTCCCCACCACCACCCCGTCACTGAGCTCTTTAGCGCTCTCTGTGGTTTAGCAGGCCTCAACTGCTTCACCGGCTCAGCCCAAATCGTGTATTTTGGCGTCGGGCCGTTTGCTCAGAATCACATTCATCTCTAAGTATCCTGCTTTGAGTTTTAAGATTTTAGATCTGAAGAAAAAGACTTTAACAAAGTAGTCAGAAAGGAAAAATGAAAACAATCAGGTTTGTCTCTGTGACTCTAGACTGCTTTGCTGACTGTGGTTTATAAGACAGGAGATGAAATCAATGAAATAAACCAAATACAACACTGGATTTTGTTTGTTTCTCACATTTACATTTGAAGCATTATTATGCTGCGGTCCTCCTAATGTTTTGTCTACATCTACATTATGAAAACCTTAAACTGAAGATCAACAGTCATTGAGACACATTAGAAATAACTTTTAATGAACAACTGATTATGCTTAGTGGAATAATTGACAGTACTTAGTAAACTGAAGTATTATTTACATATAAAACACATTTTTAGCTGTATCAAAGCACTAAGGTAAATTCTTCTCAAATGAATTTGATGCATGTCTTCAAGCTTTTGTTGGGAACCATTGCGTACACCCTATGTGATATTTAATTCAATTCAAGAATTCATATGAACTCAACAACTGAACAGACAAAATTAAATACAGACAGAATTAAACCGGTTTCATTTTTTTATTCATAGTCAAAATAGGACCTGACTTTTAGCCCTTGGGTCAAGCCCCAAAATGCTGGGGGATAACCAAAAGTCATCAGGGTTATTTTTTCAGACTTTTAAGATATGAAATGATAAGTTAAGATGTTCTTTTATAGACCTAAATGTAGTTAGCCACAGCAACAACACTGTTAGTCATTAGCTGCTGCTGTAAATAAACAGTACACAGAAAGTACAATAACTGACCGCTCCTTTTGTTTATCTTAACAAAGCTATGCTAGCTTGGCTCAGGATTAGTTAGGAGCCACTTGGGTAAACGTGGGTGTTACCAATGGGACCTATTGTTTTTGTAGAGATGATTATTTATCAACTAATGCAAAATCTTTGAGAGGCTTAGGATGCTCAAAAACTCAAATCAGCACACGTCAGAGCTGGCGAAAATTTGGCCGTGGTCAGCAGGCGCCACAGCTCCCCAAAACGCACAACAGGGCTGGAATAGAGCTGTTTTTATGTCAACCATATTTGGTGGGATGATTGTATTTGAGATTTCAGTTTTTAGTTTTAAACACTGCACATGGCTTTGAAATCTAACTTTTTTTTATATCTTGCATCATTTAATTTACTTTAATCAACATTTAATCTTGAATTCGAATGAAGTCACTGACTTACTGCCAAAGTCAAAAGTGAGTAGTTCATCAGGGTGTAAGTCATGATGGAAACTATGCGTACCAGTGAAAATAGTTCCAGCTACATACAAGCCAGGCTAAGATTTATGTCAGTGAAAACAGTTTTCAGTAGCTGAACTAAACCATTATCTTCACATCAGGAAATGGGCTTTGCAGCACAAAGAATGTTGTCCCGTCTTGTTCTTCTCTCTACCTGCACCGGCCCTGCCAGCCAAGGTCAGAGGTGAAAGGCCTGACTACTGCACCCCAAGCAATACACCATTATTGTGACTACCATTTCACACACACATTCACACACACACACACTCATACATGAAGGAGGAGAACATTGCACAACAGCAAAGAGCCTGGGCGGCACGAACATCCTGAGGAAACAACACTCACTTCCTGGCAAATTAAGCCAAGCCGACGGCTGCTCGGGTTGATAACCGCCACTGCTGGACACCACTGAGTGGCTGAGGTAGAGCACCACCTTAGTGTCCGCTCCCACCAGTTTTAGATCTGCCCCCAACACAGCCCATCAACTGCCATAGTCACAAGTCTGTTAACCTCCAGGACAGCCAGCAGCGTTGGGAGCCCAGTGTCCCTCAGACAGGATGACCCTCCTACTACTGCTCACCTCGACACTCCTGTCCAGCTGTAAGACCGCTGACTTTTTATCTTCTGCATAGGAACTTTTTGGATTTCTTTTTGTGGAGTCAGTTGATAGATTTGTTTCTAACCTGGTGCTTTACTTTCTTATCTTGCCCCAAAAGACTTCCATCCATGGGGAGTGGTGAACGCACAGTCATGTAAGTATAGTCTAAAATAAATCAGAGAGACACCTAATCTAATCTAATCTAGATAATATTTGTCGTTTAAAAAAGTGCCTGTCTTTACTTTCAATACAAACATAACATAGGTTATTGGTCTTTGAGTTGGATTTTTCAATCAGTTGTCGGCCACTAAAGAACAAACAGAGACACATGGTCAGTCAGTGGAAACAGTCCTGTTTGTTATCAGAGCTTTCTGGTGTCTGTTACGGTGGAAAGGCTGTGGTAGGAAGCGTTGGGAACATGTTGGCGAGCAGTGTCACACGCCTCCCTGTCCTCCTGACTTGGTTGGTGATGCGGATCAGTTGAAGTAGAGATGGAGGCATTGTCTGAGCCAGGGCCAAACTCAGGACGTGAAGAAAGACCTATATTTGATTACTAATATTTGCGGTTGCTTCTTACATAAGTGATTTTCTAAGTGAAGATCTTTTAAGTAAAAGTACCAATAGCCCAGTGTAAATATACAGCATTACAAGTAAAGTCCCTGCATTTAAATTATTTCTTCTTATTTTCTTATTATTTATTAAATTATTTATATTTATATATTTATATTTAATATAATTTAAAAACATGTTCTTCTTGTTCCTGCAGCAGTATGCAACTTGTACATTGTGATCCACCAGTGCACATCCACTGAGAATGGACTTTATTGTGAAGTATGAGACATCTTGTGTCCAGCAGGAAAACTTTAGAAATTAACATTTGCATATTCAGAGATTCTGGATTTTTTTAATGAGGTAGAAGGAGGATATTTCAATGTGGGAATTGATTATTTGTATATGTGTCTTATTACATGTCTGGGGGGATCTTTAAGTAAAAATATATCAGTATTATCAGCAAAATGTATCGTGTATGAGTAAAAATGGTCTCTATTATTACAATATTATTAAGTTGTTATTAATCCTGATCCACCTAGACCAGCTAGAGCTAGTTTTAACTACTTTATAAACAGTTTGGTAGTTTTGACCTGTGGTGTTCCAAAGGGTCACAAAATCATTAATGGGAGATGAAAGAAGAAAAAAGTTTTTTGTACATCCATGCTTTTTAATGAAATATTGGATCATTTGAACTCTGGGCCTTCAACAGTGAAACCATCTCAGAGGTTTAGAGGGGAAATCACTCTTTGGTAGAACTGATAACTCATAGACACTCATTTTTTTAAGGGGCCTCAAGCCCAAAATTATGGACACAAAACAGCTGTCAGATAAGTATGATGGAGTAAAAAGTACAATATTTCCCTTTGAAATGTAGTGAAGCATAAAATGTAAAAACTCAAGTAATGTACAATTACCTCAGAATTGTGCCTAAGTACTGTACTTGAGTAAATGTACTCCACCACTGGCTCAGCATGCACCTGCCATGACTCACACACCATTTGAGAGCCCATAGCAAATCTCTGTCCTGCACGCCTGATTTTTCTCATCATCAGGCCTGCCAGGTCTGTTGAATGATGCTGGGCCTGGGCCAGATTCAGATTCTGTTTGTCTGACAAAGTGCTTTTCCTGTCCTTTTTTTTCTTGTTCCCTGGGTTTGTTTACTGCCCCACAACACCCCATCCTGAGTCACAACAGCAGCTTGTTGTCTCTAATACTCCACCATATGGGTGATGAGGTGGGGAGGCTTGACGTAGGTGTGCAGATGCTTTCTGTCTCCGGTTACACTGCAGAAACTAGACCGTTGCCACTTTTAAAAAGTGTTTCCTAAAATACAAAATGTTGCTCTTTTAGTCTTGGTATCTGACAATAAATATCTCATCTGAATCATTCATTGCAATTGCATACCTGTAAGATCAGTCCTACCAATGATGTGCAGTTGTTTATAATAACTCCAAAAAAGCACCAAAGCTGTATCGAATTGATCTGGTTTCCATTTGTAGTATGAGTAGTATTGACAGTTCATGTTATCAACAGTTCGTGTGTGGAACAAAAGAGGTAGAACACATTGGCCAAAAAATGCAATCTCAGAACCCCACGATTTAGATCATTTAGACATTAGCTTGTCATTTACAAGTATGAAGTTGCTAATTGGACTGCAGAGGAAGTGTTGGCCCAGATATATATATATTATTTATATTTATATTAGAACCACCAAAACATTGGTCTTTTCCGCCCCAGGGGCTAAATCGTCAGTAGCCGATAGGTTCCGTCAGGCCCGGCTGCATATCAACAGATGGTACTCTTTTAGATTTATTTGAAACTTCTGGCATTGTGGCTGTTTTTTAACATTAGATTACTAAGAATTGTACAGTCATGCATTCATGCATTGTTTATTGTGTGAGTCACATACCCAGAAAGGATGCTTTCACAATGCATATGGTGATGAAATTCTGCAGTAACACATCAGCTTCCTGAGTGCCAAGCTGATACTCAATTTTATGGCAACTGTAATAGAAATCTCAGCGCTGGTCATTTAAAATATTCCTGCAAAATGACCATTCAGGAGCGTTGGTTTGAACAGGAAGTAGATGAAGGGAAGTGATTAAAAGGAAATTCTGTTCAATCCACTAATATGCAAACTATGTAAAAGCTCAAAGGAAAGGGGGTAAGACTGAATACTCTCAACTCCAATTCAGTCTTTCTGTACATCAACGTCTGGGTGCTTCTGGCTTTCTCAGGATAAAATCAGTAGTTATCTGACAGACATGTGTATAGGGTGTAAATCTGTTTAAAGGAAGGAGATGAACACAGAAATAGACTCCATAGAGAGGTCAAGAAAGGACTCCGTCAATATGTACACAGTCTAATGCTGCATTCACAAGGGTTCAGGCGGTAGACAGAGTATTGAGGTCCAAAGTTACAATATTTAAACTTTTTGCTTTGGCTTTCTCATACAAGGAGGAAACATGCTAAATCATTTTATTTAATGTATTATTCCATTCTTAAAACAATACGATATCACTATAGCAATATAACCCCATGCATGTATTGTTTTGACGCCCTGCCTTTAAGTCGGACTGTTTTTGTTTTTCCAGTGATGTGAGGTGAAGGTGCTGTCTGCCTGAATGAACAGTGAAATTCACAAAATATAAAACCATATAGATGCACACATTCAAATAAAGCAGTAAGTCTACAGAGTAAAATATCACATATAAGTTGCCCAAAGAACATATACGGTTAAGTAGAAAAAGTATTCATAAATATCAGTTACGTGAATGTGTATGAATAAATGTAGAGAACAAAGAACTACAGAGAAAGGATTTGTTGTATGGAAAACATTTTAGTGTGTATAGTGGTAAACATTACATTGGAAACAGAACTTTGTCTCCACTCTGACTCTTTTTTTTTTTGGTAATGATTGTACCAGAAGAAGCCATGAGGACAATTTACTACAAGTTATATTCCTCACCATTTTTTTCCCATTTGTTTGTTGCATTTCTGCCAAGAGTTAGATGAAAAGATCGATACCACTCTATCTGTACGTAAAAAAGTCAATTAGCTTAGCTTAGCTTAGCATACAGACTGGAAGCAGTGGGAAATCTTGGCTCTGCTCAAAAATCCACATACCAGCACGTCTAAAGCTCACTAACGATGAAACAACAACAAATTTTGGTTTGACAGCAAGTTAGGTGCTGAACTCTCTTTATATTAACAGCAGATAATCCACTTCCAGCTCTAGGTCCGTAGTTAGATAGACAAAAGGGTCGTATTGAATTTCAAATATAACTTGCAACGACAAATATATAGCATTAGAAATATGGTCCAAAGCAGGGGTCTTCAACGTTTTCCAGGCCAAGGACCCCCAAACTGATGGAGAGATGGAGCGGGGACCCCCTAATTATATATATTGTATAAAATTGTGTTTTATATTAAACTGGTCCTATAGTGCCATGTATAAATGTACCTTGTTATTGTGCATTCAATACTAAGATATTCAAATAATACACAGGTTCATATATTCATGTTTTTATTTTAAACATGTGCAAGGTACAAAATGTAAAAGCTCAAAGTCAACTGCCTACTCTTTTTCAGGGCAGTAGATTAGCTCGCACATTAAGTCTAATTTATTTATTTTTTAAATCACTCCCTAGTTACGATAAGAAACATCACCCTGTCCATCGAGCCCAGTACTGATGTGACACGGGACACCAATGTGACTCTGAGATGCAAGGCCCTCGTCAGCAGCTCGGGGCAGGCGGTGCTGAGTCGTGAGTACACTATATACAAAGACAGCAACGTTGTCTACACCAAGACCTCCAGCACCCCAGAGGATCTGCTGTACCCACTGCCCGAGGCCAGAGTCTTCAACAGTGGCAAATATAAGTGCACGATTAAAATTGAGAGCAGAGAGATGAGCAGCGACGTCAAGAAACTCACGGTAACAGGTTGGTTTGTTATTATGGATCGCCTATGGATAGTAGCCTATTATCTGTTTATCAATTTCAGGTGAATCTGATAATAAATAATTTCAAAAGAAACTAAGAGTTTCTAACTAAAAGTTTTAAAAATATGTTAAACATCTGTTAGCAGGATGTGCCAAAAAAGATCTAAAATGTTAATCTGGAGAGAGAACTACTGACATAGCTTAGATTTTTTGCCATCCTATGTGTTTAAGATTAAAAAACTAATCAAAACATTTCAGTGACGGGAATGATGTGTTTATATACAACAGCAACAGGGGAATGTCTTTAACACTGGCAGAAAATGGTGCTGTTTCATTTCCATTTTTCAAGCTCCGTTGGATTAAATCTGAGCACATTTCTCACGTTTTGGGTTTCCAGGCCTGTCAAAACCAGTTCTCCACCTTAACAAGGGTGTGGTCAATGAAGGGGAGGAGGTAACGGCCAGGTGTTCGGCGCCTGGTGAGACAGGCTCCATTTACTTCTACTTCTTCAAGGACTCCAAAGAGTTCCAGGAAAAGTCTACCAATTCCAACCAGACAGAGATCAAGCTACACTTCAGCAGTGTTGGCGTCCACAAAATTCACTGTTCCTATACTGTCTTCGTAAGGCCAGAATCCTTTAAGTCTGAGGACAGCAACAATGTCACTGTTTCAGTCAAAGGTAAATAGCCTTAATTTTCAAATTTCTGTACTTTTCAATGCACTGGACCAATCTCAGGACTTTTTCTTCATTGATTTTGTCTCCTTAGAGCTGCCCATTACAGCAGTTTTGGTGATTGACCCTCAGTCCAAAATCTATGAAGGAGACCAACTCGACATCTCGTGTTCCATAAGCAACATGCACAACTCTGAAAGTTTCGTTCTCTACCTGAGCCAGGGGGACAGCCTTCTTAAGACTGGAAACAAAACCACAACACTTAACCACGTCATGGTTGCAAAGGCAATTGATCCTGGGGAGTTTGAGTGCAAATTAGAGATTGGAAATATAGTGAAAGTCGCCACAAAGATACTTTCAGTGACTGGTGAGTGGACAGAGGAAAGACCTGTGTGTGCATGCTGTATATATATAAATATATATAAACCTGTGTTCTATTGATATGTTTTTCATCTTAATTAAGATCTTAATCTTAAATAAATTAAATGTTTTAAAGCTTTTTATTTCTCTTATGCTCCATTTGAATTATTTAACTATAATAATAACCACAAAATAAAGAAAAGGAGTCAATAGAAATTATCTTTAAATTATTTTCACCAGCGACTAGCTGGTAAACATGGTGCATTAGGCTATTAGCAGCTAAAGAGATTTTTCCCTTAGAGTTAGTAGAGACCAAAAACAAAGCAAAAGAAGCGTGAATACTGGACTTACATTCACCTAGTAGCTATAACACGACTCCAAATGAATACCAATGTTGCTCCGTAACAGCAGGATGTGCTAAAGGAAAAGTACAAAGCTTTTTATTTCTTTTACACTCTGTGTAATTAATGTATTACCAGTACAAGCCTATTGATTGATTTTTTGAAAACATTTGTTTTTGACCCTGATAATCTTTTATTGTATCTTGTCGGTATTGTGTCTCCATAACTATCGACATTTACACTAAGTGACATCAGTGCAGATGATGATTTGTTTTTTTAAATCTATCCACAGAACTGTTTTCAGCGCCTACTATCACCATATCTCCAGCTGAAGTCTTTCAAAAGGAAATTATGCAAATAACCTGCAGATGTGAGAGATATGCCTCTGAAAGACTCACCAAGGAAGATGTGACTTACACTCTTGATCCACCACAAAGCCCGCTGAACCCCAGGGGCAATGGAGTATTTTCTGGCAGGGCCCTACTATTTGAATTCAACTATACCTGTGTTGCTGAAGCCAAGGGCATTGAGAAACACAGTGAAGCCCTGACTGTACGTCCTAAAGGTAAACTTACTTGATGCCTCTTCTAGATGCAAATTTGAATAAACCAGTTAAAAGTGGATTTATGTAAATGCTTCAGAACTTTAACTTTTACGTAAAAGTCATCATGACATTATTGATTACATAAAGGCTGCAGCAGCCTTTTGCTAACAAGTTTGCCATACTAATTTAAAAGGTGATAATATGTCAGTGTTCTTCGTGGCTAGTTTCCTCTGCCCCCAAGTGGCAGCATAATTTGCTATCTAATCTAATAATGTTAAATGATGACATTAATTAGATTTTTTTTAGGGGATTTGCTGTAAGAGAATAGGAGTACTGTAAGATTTATTTCAAGGGCAAAATCAGTTTTTTTAATTCATCACTTGTAACCTGTGAGAAAATTCAATTCAATTCAGTTTAATATTATTTGTATAGCGCCAAATCATAACAGAAGTTATCTAAGTACACGGAAGGAAAAGGAAAAACTTCCTTTTAAGAGGCAGAAACCTCGGACAGAATGTGAATAAAGCTGCCACAAGCATTTACATAGAAATCACTGTGTCTGAATGACAAAAATCTTGTCTGGACAGGCCTTTGGTTTTTGCTTCATCTGATCTGTCCAGAGGCAATCGGTGTGTTTAAATTTTTTCTCTATCCTCTTTAGTTTATGTCTCCATGCCAAGGATCTCTGCGGTTGGCAAGGCAGTTCTAGGAAAGCCCATCAAGATCCTCTGTCAGTCAGACTTCGGCAGCCTGCCGATAAACTACACCCTGTTCAAGGATTATAAACCACTGAGCACAACCAGCATCAAGCTGTCCTCTCAACAAGCTCTCTTCACAGTCACCATCACCAAGCCTGAAGAAATAAACAAGTTCATGTGTGAGGCAAAGAACAGTCGAAAGGACGGCGAGCTCAGTAAAAATCTCCTCACTGCTGTCATAGGTAAATGTTCAAAACAAGTATGTTTATCCATTTTACACGATTACTATATATTTAATTTGGCTCATCAAACTGCTCATAAATGGATTACCACATGTAAATAACCACTGCTGAGTCATATGATTATATGGAACTCTGAAAAAAAGCAACTATTAACAAATGACAGAACACTTAAAGGTCTGTTAAGTAGATTTTCAGTCACATAACACAACCTTCTTCAGCAGATAAAACTTGTCCAGCTGTCAGGCCCCCATCATCAAATGGACGTTTTTACACCTGCTGTTTCCAGTCTTAAACTAAGCTAAGCTAACCAGTTGCTCGTTGTAGCTTCATATTTACTGTACAAACATAAGAGTGGTATTGATCCTCTCATCTAAAAAGGTATGGTTCTATGTATGTTATATGTAGCATATTTCCCAAAATGTCAAACTATTTCTTTAAAGACACGTAATGAAAATGTCTGTAAGGTTTTTGGGCTTTAATGACATAATAAAATCAAAGTTTATAATTGAAGCAGTGTTGATTAATCTCACCTCTTTTCTTCCACCTTTTCTTCTCCCAGAGCCTCTGTCGTACCCGACTGTGACCATCCTCCCCAGCTTAGAAGACCTTTATGAGGGAGGTTCTCTTGACCTCTTATGTAGTATAAGAGGTACTCCGCCGGTCACCTTTAAGTGGTACCGTGAAGGCCGTGAACAGCCACTTAATACTACCACCTCCAACCAGAACTACACAAAATACCATGTCCCCTTGTTGTCTAAAGAATTCAGCGGAAAATACTACTGCGAGGCAGTCAACCACGCCAACAACGTCCGCAGTGACGATGTCAACATAGTGGGTGAGAGTGATGTGTATTTACGTTCATTATGGACCCCCACCTGCTCCAAACCTGTAGTTCTGTTTTACTTCTGGGGCATAATAACCTTCAGAGACTTAAATTTGATTAAAAGTAAAGAAACATCAGACTACAGCCTTCTTGTCTCACCCTCCTGTTCCAAGCGTGTAGGAAAACCTAGTGCAGCCACAAAAAACATAAAAAATGGCTAATGCTAAGTTAACGAAAACACATTCTTTTTCAGGTGATTATACACTAAAACATACATTAAAACATACCTATGAATATTTTATTACATTTCTGCTAATAGATCTTCCTGGATGTTACACACTGGACCTCTAAAGATCCAGTCTTTATTCTAAAATTGGTTCTAGATGGGGCCTTGATCATTTTCCACAAGTTTTGCAACCACCATACTTCTCCTACACACTTGGAAGGCTGAGCTGTATTCAAATGGTTGCAATCTGCAGTTTCACCACTAGATGCCACTAAATCAAACACACGGTAATGTAATCTCACACTAAGGTAGTCGTGCTGTCTTCAGCAACCGTGGTAATCCTGTCCTATTTTATTCACTCCCCTTCTTTTCCCTTCCATTTTATTTGTCACTGACTTTGCCTTCTTTCTGTGTGTTTGTCTCTTTTTCTCCATCCATAGTGCAACTGGCGCATTGGAAGAAAGGTGTGATCGCGGGGTTCTGTCTACTGGCGGTGTCGGTGTTGGTGGTGTGTGTGCTGTGGTTCAGATCCAAAAGAGGTAGAAAGACCTACAGCCCTCCAACAAGTCAGGCCTCTCATGTCTGTATGAAAACCAACTTTCCTCTGTCTACTTCCTCCTGCTCTTCTTCTCACCTCTCCTCTCCTATTGTAGGTAAAAGAGAAGCAGCTGCTGAACTGTCGGTGTGAGTTGGCTCGACTACTTGCTTACTCTAAATGTGACAGATACTGGAGAAGTTAGTGACAGTGTGTCTAGTTTTAACAGCTTATTTATAGCCTTTAAAGGTCCTGTGTGTAGGATTTAGTGGCAACTCCCTCGTTTTATCCTCGCCTTCTGTGCATGTGGAAGAATCTACAGTAGCGTCAAAATGCTCAAGAATGCAAAAAAAATGCAAACACTCCCATCCTAAACCAGTCCTTGGTTTGTCCCTTCTGGGCTAATGCAGAAACATGGTGGACTCCAAGAAAGGCGGCCAACAACACCTGTAGATAAAAACAGTTCATTCAAACATAACAAAAACATAACGATTCCTATATTCAGGTGATAATAATAAAAGAAGAATACCTATTATATTCCATTTGTGCAAATAGATCCTCCCAAATGTTACACACTGGACCTTTAAAGAGCCACACTGGTTGTTTCGCATGTTTGAGCACATAGACTTCCTATTATTACAACCTTTTTTCAAAGACTTGGGTTGATTTCCTACCTTCCGGGTAGTAATTAGTTAAATATTAGCGTTCTATGAAGATCAGCTTTCCGAGACTTGAAACTTGCTTGAGATAGGAGACACTGAGTTTTTAGACAGTTTTATTTTTTGACACATCATTTCCACTTGGTATTGCTTTGCTCACTCACATACACTCTGACATCAAGCCTGTCAACTTTAGAAGTTACTTTTCCCAGCCCATAAAGTGTTAATTAGTAAGCTTTAGAGGTCTTGGGAGGCTAATCTTGTTACCGTTAGCTTCATATTTAACATACACACATGAGAGAGGTATTGATTTTCTCATCTAACTCAGTGAGAAAACAAATAAGCATATTTCCCAAAACATCAAACTGTTTCTTTAAGTTAGAGTAATTTATTAAACCGGTAGGGAAATTGCAGTGGTACAATAGCCACATAAATAACTAATAAATAAGCTTTGTAGCTTGTTACAATAAAAAAATATATATACAAAAAAACTAAAAGAGAAAAAAATTCAAAATAGAAACAAAATTAATAAGAAACAAGTGCACTTGTACTGGACATTTTTCCGGTGCATGTCATGAAGTTAATGTTAGAGTTGTAGAATTAAATGTAAATTGAACATACTGTTTGTATTAAACCAAAAAAAAAAATAGAAAAACCCCCAAACTTTTAGGTACCCTGGGGAGTTTTGTGCCAGAAACGAGGGGCTTGTTCCATTAATCTACATATGTTTTTTGAGGACGGTAATTCATTCAGCACGTTTGTTAGGTCTCAGTTAAACACACCATGTGTTTTGGTTAGAAATATTTGTTTTGAAGAAAACTCCACAGGGGGTCTTTAACACAAGCTGCTGTAACAGGATGCTACAAGAGCTGCGCCATCTTAATAGGCTACAACATACAAAACCACCAGTGTGAATCAGCTGTTGTATCAGAATTGATTGCATACACTACTTAAGCTTTAGATCTTTTGGGCATTTAGTAGATTTTTCCTTGACTTCACCAATGCCAAGTTGACTTTATTTTTACCATTTCTCAGAAAGCCTCCGAGCTCTAAATCAGATGACTCTTTAACAGTGAATCTAACCTACGACACAGAGGTTTATAACGCAGCCTCAGGTAGCTTGGTTTTACTAGTCTTCTATGTACCACTGACTGTACTCATTAGTCATCATCTTAACAGCCATTAGTCATGTATCTTGCCTCAACAGTCATGGCATGTTTGCTGTTGTAGCCACAGCAATCCATTTTCATCCCATGATCCATGTTCTAATATGCATGCAGGGCTCATTTTGTGGTGACCTGGCTACCTTTGTTTATGTAACACTGTATGTTGCTTTCCAGTTGTAGATATCCTGTTTAAGTTTATATGCACACACAACATATGTACATTTGAACGTATTGTCCTCGTCTGTCTCTGACTTCTTGCATGCACATTGTGTTTGTGTCTAAGTCTGTAGTGCAGAGGCAGGAAAAGTAGGATGTTGTTAGAATATAGTTGTTGTAGGAAGTAAACTCTCTGAGGTACAAGCTGTGCTTACGCAGGAAGAAGATGCTTAAGTAGTTCAATCATGGTGACATTGATTGTCAATTGTTGCAAAATGCTTAGAGCGCCCATTATCATCTTCTTCCAGACGCAGCGCCTCTCTATGATGGCACAGAGGGGAGAGTGACCAATGGGGTGAGAGATAGCGTGGCGTCGCTTCCCGCTGACATCAGCAACAGGAGCAGCTACAGTATCCCAGCCACAGTTTAGAGATGCCCCACAGTGGGCGGGACTTTCAATTAAATTTTTTTTAAACTTTCAAAGAAAAGGAAGCTCTAAGAGAGGACTTTCAGAGCAATAATCCTGTTTATGATGCCAAGTGTTGAAGGATTTGGACATTTTCTGAAAAGGAGGGGCGTGTTATGAGAAACCAGGACCCGCTGCTCCCTCTCCCCTCCTCCTGCAATCTAGATGGCCTCTGATTTTATACCTAACATTACTGTCTTTGTCCTTTGTTTCTTCATTCGCCATGTCCGTGTGAATTGCTGTCCTTTATTGTTGCAACAGCTCTATTTGTCTGCTGTGCATGTTTTAATGGGCTGGGTGATCTGTATATACATTTAATCACCATCACGAGAAATGTGTGTATATATTTTTGGTTGATCCTTTGACTGATTGGAAGAGAAACATATAGAATAAAGATATTGGTTTTATTTAGAAGTGTGTCAGTACCATTTATTTTGCTCCAGCTGTATCTGAGGCTAAGTATGCTAAAAACCTTTATACTGCACAAAAAGTCCAATAATATGTTTATTATTATCATGCCTGCATTACTCTTCCATTACAGTGTATGCTGGATGGTGTCACTGTCCTAAGCACAGGTCTATGACAATACCAACATAACATGAAGTCGATTCATTTCCTAAAAAGGAAAACACAGCAGAGACTTCCTTGAAAAGTTGCAACAATAGAGCCTGCAAGAAACTTCCTATGCTGGCACAGGGCAGGCTGGGGGGTGGGGACAGAGGGGGGCAAAATTGAATACATACAGCAGGTGGAGGAAATTAATCACATAAGCTTGGTTAAGCTGTGTGTGAGATTACATTACCAACTGGGAAGTTGCAAAAGGAAGTTGTTTTTGCCAGAGTTTATTGTGCAGCCGCTGCTGAATTAACAGCCTATTGTGCACAAGGCAGCACAAGATTTCTGTATGTTCTGTATGGTTTTATTTTCAGAGCAATAAAGCCTCCACTGAAGGCCAAACTGTAGAAATGTGCCAAAAATCTCACTTAACTCTCTGTTATTGCTTTTAGAATGGAATATAATCTTGATATTTGACTTTTGGTCATGTTAAAATGGTTTGACATTTTGGGAAATACACTTATTCACTTTCTTGCTAAGAGTGAGGCGAGAAGACCAATTTCATTCTCATGCCTGACTCTTAAGTATAAAGCTACTGCCAGGAGACAGTTAACGTAGCTTAGCATACAGACTAGAAGGGGAAACTGTCCGGAGACTGGCTCTGTTTTATATGGCTTAAACAAACAAGATAAAACATTCTAATTAAAAACGTAATTGATAAGTTATTTTTCCTTTAGACATGAGTCAGGCTAGCTGTTCCTTTCTCTTAAGATAAGCTAACCAATTGCTTGGCTGTAGCTTCATACTGAGCAGATAGACTTAAGGGTGGTATTCTTCTCATTCAACTCTCTCATTCAAGAAAGTGAAAAGGTATATTTCACAAAAAGAATGACACAAACACACCTAGATCAGGTGATGTTCATACATGCTCTGTAATATGTAATTTTATTGCTAATTACCTATTAAGGTATGTTTCTTTATTTTAATCAGTGCAGAATTTTTACAACTTAATGAAAGTGTCGGTTTGGCAGCTGCCTTATGACAGATGTCTGTCTTTCTGTGTTTCACAGTGAAGGTGGACAGAGTTGCAGTCAGTGTGTGGAGCAAGCGACCATCTGAAGATGGTGAGCTGGTCTTGTAACATCTACCATTATATTAATGCTTTGAATAATGTCTTACAGTTCGAAGAAGGCATGTATATTTAACACAGGTGGAACTACTGAGAACTGAGCACTTAACCTCAGAGAACTTTAAAGGTCCAGTGGTGTAAACATTTAGGGGGATGCTATTGGCCAGAAATGGGATATAAATTCATTGGTATGTTGTAATATAATCACCTAAATATAAGAATTGTTGGGTTTAGAATAAGCTGTTTTTATCTACAGAGACCACTTTCATGGCATCTGCCATATTGAACTGACATGTTTCTACAGTAGCCCAGAACGGACAAACCAAACACTGGCTCTAAATGGGGCCTTCATTGTTTTTTGGGGGGTTTTGCGGCTACTCTACTTCTCTTACACATTCGGAAGGCCAGCGATATTAGACAAAAAGAATCAATATTCACAAACTAATCCCCACTCAAGGTACACTTACTGTGTTTTTTTTAGGGGTTTTGAATTTTCTCTATCTGCCGATAGAGACAGAGTTTACTTGTCATGCAGATTGATCTGTTGAAATGCAAGTTCAGAAGTTATACTATAGCTCTTGTCCATATTAGGCAAGAAAGGTCATGATTTTAAAAATGTTTGGTAACTACACAGTATAACTAACTTGTCTGTTTCCAAGGTCAAGAATGGACATTAATGCTTAAGAAAACGACACCCCTCATTAAGATGACTATGAATTCAAGAAGCATGTTTCACAGAGAATTTTGTTCACGTGTGTAGATGCCGACAGTGACGAAGAGAGCAGCGTGAAGTCCAATGAGCCTGATGTGGAGTACACTGAGGTGGTGCATCCCGGGCCAGTAGATCCCGCTAGAGGTTAACACTGCACACACACAAAAAAAGTTATATTGTCTACTACCCTATCTTTTTTCTGCTTTTGGTTCTCGTTCTCCAAACTCTGTTAATTTGATAAGCTTTTGTCCCTTTATTTTTTAACCATTCTGTACATTCATCCTTTCTATTCCATACAACCTCACCAAAACTGTTTCTCAGTTTTGCCCACATTCCTTGATAATATGGGCTAACGCATCCTGGGAGGGGCCTAATTACTCATAATTAACACATCTCCAAGTTGCTGTAACTGCAGGGATAACGTCTGGGATTTCCAGAACTGAACTGCAGAACTTATAAACAGGAAGGGTTGAGATAATTGCCAGGCTGGTTTCTGATACTGGCCCCTACTTCGTTATGGTCCTGTGCTCAAGGTCCCAATGGGCCATAGTTGGCAGTTACAGAATATGACACAGCCCCTCTATTTTTAGATGTCTGTTAATGATAGATCAAACAGACAGTATCTGCTCAACTTTGATGTTCAAGCAGGCTAATGTGTTGCTTTTTACATTAACAGTCCCACTCAGAAAAGGCACAGACACAGTGTACAGCGAGCTTCAAAAATCTCCACATGGTGAGTTTAACATTTTTAAAGCTGCACTGATGAATATTTTTATGTTAAGAATGAATTAACTGTGAAAGGGGTTGCTCATAGTAACAAACACACAGAGAATTTAAGATACAAGCAGCGATGAACGGGCCCTTTGCGCGTGTCGGGGTGTGCTGTGGCCGTGTTAAGTGTTAACTCACAAATAGCACAACTTTTAATCGTAATGGTCTTTAGGGTGCACTGACCAAATTTGACGCAGATCTGATAAAGTCCCTAGGAGGAGTTTGTTAAAATACAACATGTGCAAAACGCCTAAAATGGCTGCTAAATCCAAAATGGCTGACTTCCTGTTGGGTTTGGGATCAAGAGATTTTTTTGTACATCTGGACAAGATCTACATGTGTACCACTTTTCATACTCATAGATGAAACGTAGCATGTAGGAGAAACTACGGTGGCCACTAAACTTGCAAAAACTGTAAAAGGCCCTATCTAGAGCCGGTGTTGGATTTGTCCATTCTGGGCTACTGTAGAAACATGGCAGTTCAACATTGTGGA